TATTAACAACAATAATAATAAATGCGGCGGCCGCCTGCCTTGGGCCTGCAGTCTGGGGATCAGACCGCTGTAGATGGCAGCCAGCGCTGCTCCACACGCCATCTCCACCAGAACCCGCTCCTCATCTGGAACACAAAACCAGCACAAGTCCTTCAGAGAACCGGAACCGGAGCCAGGTGTGTGCGGCAGGAAGTCACTGACCCAGGAACATCTGGACGGCCCTCAGCGCCTCCTGGTCCGTCACCAGCTCAGAGATGATGGTCGCCTCGCCGCTCTGGCTCAGCTCAAAGGCTCTGCGGCAGACCGTCTTCGCACCCAGACACTTGGCCTCGCTGGGGACGGAGGCAGAGACAGCAGGGGACACAGAGGGACACAGAGACATGAGTGTGAAGGAGTCCCGTTTCTTAAAGTAACGGTTCTGTTTGCTGCTTCATTTTTCTTTTACTGAAGCAGGAAATAATAATTCAGACTGCTGGTTCTGCTGGACCAGGAAAAAACTAAAATCTTTGCAGAAATTTCAGATAAACTTTTAAGCTTATTTGTATGTTGTCATGGCGACCGAGTAGGCCGTGACAACCAATCAGAAGCAGCCAATGGGATCAGAGCTGGACCAACCTGGTGATGTCATCCAGAGTCACCAGCTCCCCCGCTTTGATGGCAGCGTTGAAGCAGTCGGCCCCCACCGTTTCCATAGCGATAACTGGCACGTCCGCCCAGCCGGCGTCCTTCAGGCCGCGGACGACGCCGCACAGCAGGCCCCCGCCCCCCACCGACAGCAGCACGGCGCCGGGCCGGGCCCCGGGGCCCAGGGCGGCTGCCGCCTCCGCCACCACCGAGGCGTGACCCTCCCTGGACAGATGGGGGACATGCTGGGTCTGTGGAGGGGTCAGAGGTCAGGGGCCAAGGGGTACCTACCACAGCAGGGGGTGATCAAACGGAGGAACGAAGGTCAGCTGCTCCGTCTCCGCCAGCCTCAGAGCTTCAGCGTTGGCGTCGTCCCAAACCTGACGGTTAGAGACAACAAGCATCCAGGGGTCAGAGGTCAGGGGAACAGCTGGATGGGTGCCACCTGACGTGCGTCTGGGAGAGACGGACTGGAAGGAAACTACGTCCTCGGTCAGAACCCAGGGGACCTGACTCAGGACGGCTCTGACCTTCCCGGCGACCTTGACGGCGGCGCCCTGCTCCTGCAGCCTGCGGACCACCAGCGGGGGGGTGGAGGACGGCACCACCACGGTCGCCGGCAGCCCCATCTTCCGGGCCACGTAGGCTGCGGCCATCCCAGCGTTCCCACCTGTGGAGACGGGCGTTACCATGACGCCCATTAGCATGACGAGGCTTGGTCACAGGTCAGAGGTTACCTGAAGAACACACGACTCCCTTGGAGCGGCTAGCGAGCTGCAACAACACACGGAGCGTCAGCAGCAGACAGGCACAGCGGATCCAGACAGAGTGACGGCGCCCCCACCTGCTGGCAGAGGTGTCCTACGCCGCGGATCTTAAAGGAGCCAGAGGGCTGGCAGTTCTCCATCTTCAGGTACACGGCGGTACCCGCCATCTTGGACATGCTGACGCTCTCCAGCAGCGGTGTGTTCACGTGGAAATGTTGCGGCATGGTGCGCAAGATGAGTCTGAGATGAAAATAATGTTTAGATTCTGCATAACCCAGTTAGGGCCTACAGGCTCCTCCAGACCCCAGGGTGTGACCCTGACCCCTCTAGGGGTCACCAAGCGGCCTCAGAACTAGAAAGGTTCATCGGTCAACAGGGGCCCATAAGAGGCAGAGCATATTCCCACACTTCCTGCATTATTCATACATCTGGACTGAAAAACATACGACGCGTTTCTGTACATAGCCTTCATATGAGAGGCTCCTGATGAGTAATCCTCATTTCACAGATGGTTACCGTTTCATGTTAGACCATCATCATGTCTAACATTTTACATAAACTACATTTCTGAATAAAACAATTTTGACCAAAAAGCAGAAATCACCGGTGATTTCTGCTTTTTGGTCAAAACTGTTTGGAGGTAAAGCTAGCTGCCTCTTCGAACATGACAGTAAAGCCAGCCCGCACTTGATTTTCACGTGCGCGACGGTACAAGACGTTACGGTACCCTCATTTACGAGTTCCTTTCAAAGTAAAAGCACACATCCGGTTCATGTTTGATCTACTGCAAGTAAATTAAAAGCGGCTTCACGTTTAGACTTTTTATTTATGCAGTTGCAAAAGGAAATTATGTAACTGAAAATAAATTCAAATATATTGTGTGAAACAAAAATACTGTAAACCATATATATGAAACCTCAAAAATGGTGAAGTTAAACGATGCGTTACCAGTGACTTCTCTCGCTGCAGTGTGATTGACTCTTCCAGAAGACACCCAGTAAATGGCCTATGGAGCTGATGTGCATTTCAAAATGAGAGCTGATCAAAAGAACACGTTTTGATTTTTATTTTTCAAAAGTTGACATACACATTGTTGAAAAACTCAGTTTCCAGTGACTTCTCTCACTTCTGGGTGACAGAGGGACACCCCTTCCAGCCCCCCAATTTTAAAGGAGCCAATTTTTTCAGATACATACTTTCCTTTTGCAACTGCAAGAATACAATGTCTAAACCTGAAACCCCTGGAAATCTACTTGCAGTAGAATCAGATCAAATATGAACCGGATGAGCGCTTTTATTTTGAAAGCTGCACGTAAACGGGAGCGCCGTAACGTGTTGAGCTGTCGCGCACATTACTATCGTGTGCGGGCCGGCTCGTCAAAGAGGTACCTAGCTTTACCGCAGTGATATCTCCCCTTCCAAGATGGCGAAATAGTTAGCGTGTTCGCCATCTTGAGAGGGACATCCATCTAAGACCTGGACAAGAACAACTCTATCTAAAACTGACCAAATAAACAGCAAGTTAGAACACAAAGTGTTCATTAATACTATAAAATATTCATTATATGCACGATTTATGCACAACTAGTATATAGCTTCCTGTTATGAAACAAGCGATTACAATAAATGTGAACTTACGTTTGGTGAAGAGTAGCAATAAACGAGCGTTCAATATGTAATAGGATGGTTAGAAAATAAGGCTGTTAACAGGAGGAAACATGACAAAAAAGTTGAATATAGAAATAGCTGCATGCTAAACACGTAACCGAATTAATATAGCACTTCCGTTTGACTTCCAAATTAAGGAAAATGTCTTTATACATATATTATTTTACTTAAAAGTATGTTTATCCGCTTGCTTTTTGTCAACTTATGATAAACATTATTGCCACGAATAATAATAAAAAAGTAAAAATCTAGATTAAAATCCTAGATTCGCCGTGATTTTATTTTGAAGGTTTCGTGTGCTTACTGGAAACTTCTCGGGATTTAAAGGCTTCAAATGAATAAAAGCGATTATTTTGGCTTTCAGAACCAGAGTAAAGAGTTCTACAGAAATGATTCCTGTAGTAATGAGTGAGTTTTAAATGATCCAAACTTACCTGCTGAGGTGCAACTGACAGGTGAGCCCAGAGCGGATGGCTGAGCTTTTATGACGTCTCAAGTCCGCAGATTATTACGTTCTTCCTCTTGCGCGCGCGCACACACATCTCAAATTAAGGAGTGTTTCATGCAAAGACAGATGTGTGTGTGTGTGTGTGTGTGTGTCACTCTCCTCATGATTGTCTGGAAAAATTTTAACACCTGGATGAAAAGTTTTGCTTCAAAATGCAAAATATTTCATAGGAAGTGTAATCCTTTTCTCTATTTTTTGGTCAGAACCAGATGAACAGAAATGTTAATTTGGTTTACGTTTCATATTTAAAGCGATAAAGAGAAGTTTGTCCAGTAATCGTTTTAACCGTTTCTGACCGTAGTGTGAGTTTTCTAACTCTCTCGCTGTGTTGACATAAATATTGGATCATTTTCCAGAATGTTTCTGAAAGAGGTTGGAGAACCAGAAAACACTGAAGCAAAGCTTGGAAGTCTGAGAATCAGTGAGAGGTTTAAACACAATTATTAATGTTTTATTTGACTTTAATAATGCAGCTCAACAGGTCATAAACCAGCTACTGGAAACAAAATGCTTGTGAAATAAAAATATTAACGTGGACATAAAATTCAGGCACATCCAGTCCAGCAGGTGGAGCCGCTGATCCAGCCCTCAGAAAAACTGTCCACTAGATGGCAGCAGAGTCTCCACAGCGACAGAACTGACTCTAATGAGAAAAGCAAAGCTTGGCTAAATAAAGCAACATTAAGGAGAATGAAACATGAAAACAAGCAGCAGAGAAGGTTCTGAAGCCTAGAATGACTCGGACCCAATGTTCTGACCCGGTCTGAATGTGACCCGGAACCTCTTATGAACAGTTGGAGTTCAGGGGAACCTTTGGAGACATGGACCGCTTCATTAAAGTGTCATCTTCACTTCCTGTTTCCTTCCTCTGATACTGATCCATCAGCAGCCTGAAGGTCAGAGGCCAACCAACCTTCAGATGACCTTCAACCGACCTGACACACCCTGGGTCACCTTCCACTGCTCTTCATCGCTTTTTCTGACCCACGAGGACCTCAGAGGCCAACCCCCCCACAGACAGAAAGAGCCATTAGTGGGCAGATGTTTCCATCCTTCAGCTGCTGAAGGTCAACATCTGCTTTGCCGTTTCCTCTCAGAACCAACCCTACACCCTCCTCTTCCTCATGGAGCCGGGCTTCACGCCAGCGACCTCTGTCTGGGTTTGATCCGTGGGTACAGCTGCAGAGAGGTCAACACGTTACTACAGGATGATCCTGAGGAGGCCAGGAGATACTCTGACCTCTGACTCATCATCAGCGAGAAAGGCTGTCTCACCCCCAGCAGGTTCCTCGCCACGTATCCCTCGCGGTCGTCCAGCCTGGCCCACCACCAGTCCGTCTCGGTGTCGTCATGGCGACGAAGCACGGTGACGGCGTTACCCTCGCTGAAGGATAGCTCGTCGTCCCGCCGTGCGGTGTAGTCCCACAGTGCGTACGCCGCCCCCTTGTTCATGATGCCCAGCTTCTCCTGGACGCCTGGGGAGGACGAAGCGGACGGTCAGGTGAGTCCGGGTGCGGCACCGGTACCTGGTCGGCTCCAGCTCCACCCACCATAGAGGAACTGGGAACACTGGCTGTAGCCCTCCTCCATCTCCTCACACTTGTCAGCCGCCGTCTCCACATCACTGATGGTGGTGGCGAAGATGGCGGCTCCTGATTCCACCAGCATCTTACAGAGGTGGACACTGTTGCAGGAAGCGGCGCAGTGCAGCGGAGTCCTGCACGAGATGCAGGAGGAGATGATAAGATGACCCCTGATAACCTCTGACAGCCCCTAGAGACAATGTGATGACCCCAAGATGGCGGTCTGGAGGACAGAGGAGGAACTGACCATCCGTCGCTATCGGCCGCGTTCACGTTCACTCCAAAGTCCAACAGGAACTTGACGATGTGGTGATGACCGGCGCACACGGCGTTGTGAAGAGGAGTGATACCTTCGTCGTTGGGCATGCTGGGGTTCTCCACCTGCAAGAGCCAGAGGCTAGGGTCAGAGGTCAGAGGTCAGGATGGCCTGCAAGAAGACCTGCAAATTGTTTGGATTGGAACCAAAGGAACCAGAGGAACCTCTGGGTGGAACCAGGCGGTACCTCATAGATGACCCTCTGGACCAGGTCGAACTCTCCCTCCAGCGAGGCGTCCAGCAGCAGAGCCAGGGGGTTGAACTTGACCCTCAGGCCATGACCCGTTCGCTCCGACGACGGCTTCTTCAAGTTGGTCCGCTTCGCCTGCGGACACAAGCAACCTGGTGACCATGGTAACAAGGTGGCAGCACCTGAGGGAGTCTGGGTCAATATGGACCTTTGGTCCTGAAGGCAGAGCAGCAGGTGCTGGAGGTGAGCTGTGGGTGGAGCCAGCGCCTCCCTGGTTCTGGTTCTGGACCTCGGACCTCTGTGGCTCTGGAGGCGAGCCGGGTTGGGTTGAGGGAGGCAGGATGGTGGTGCTTTCTGTCTCTTTGGGTGTTTCCATGGTAACGGAGGGTGAAGAGGAGCAGCAGGACTCTGAACTCAGGTCCTGACCTTTGACCTCTCTGTGCACTACCTTGTCTCCCGGTTCCAGGCTCCCGTTGGCTGAATGGACGGCGTCCACGTCCCCCAGGAGCCCGTCTGGCTGGTAGAAAGGGTTTGCTGGAACAGAGGAGAACGTCTCTGAGCCCCTGGAATGACCGAGTCCGGAACCTCAACAGAACCTCAACCGAGTCCTACCAGAACCGCCCTCCATGCCTCCAGCCAGCGTGTTGAACCTGCACCACAAAACACCTTCATCACCCCCAATCTGCAGCAAGTGGACCAATCCCAGCGGTGGGCAACGCATGCTGGAGACGCTAACACTAGCTCTGCTAAAGCTAGCTCTGCTAAAACTAGCTCTGTCAAAAGTAGCTCTGCTAATGCTAGTTCTACTAAAGCTAGCTATGCAACGCTAGCTTTGCTAACGCTACAGCATTATACAAACACTCTACTTAGTAGAAGCTAAATATCCTGTGAAGATTCTAACCCTAACTTCAGCACAGATGTTAAAAAAGCAGAGTAATTAGCTCTAAGCTAACAATTAGCTCCTCTATTGGCACATTAGCTGACGTGGGGCCACCGCTGGATGGTAGTTTCCACCGAGACGCTGAACATACCGCTGGTACAGCAGCTTCTGGATGTTGGGCCCCTGGGGGCCCTCAGGTTCAGTGATGGAGCTCCGCTTCTTCAGGGGCCGTGGAGCGTTGCTGAGACGGCGCCGCAGAACCTCCAGGTCGGCGTCATTCTGGTACCACAGCTGCGAGTGGGCTGAGGAGACAGCAGACCAGTATAAGCTCTGGTTTCCTGATAAAGGCCCAGTTAACAACCAGAACGGCCAGTCAGTCTGACCGGTCCTATCACCATGGCAGTTATTAGGTCCTGTGTGAGTGGAGCAGACGGAGCTGGGAACCCACCGACTGGCGTCAGCTTGGTGGGACTGAGGGGACGAGGGAAGCCGTCCACGCCGGGCGGAGGAAGGACAGCGCTATCTCTGGCTTCGTCCTGCAGAGCGGGGGACGAGGACGGGACCACAGGCTTCCCGTAGACTGTGGAGACAGAGCAGACGGTGGGATGGGTGGTCGGCCCGATCGGACCTGCGGCGGCATCAAGGCGGTTCCGACCTGCCCTGACGGCGGCCCGGTTCCCAAGGGGGCCCGGGTTCTTGGCCTGTGGCTGATGCAGGTACATGCTGTAGATGGAGCTGCTGTTCATGGTGGCGGGGCCCTTCCTGGGGGACTGCGGCCTGGACGGCTGCTCCGGGACGTAGGGACGCACCGCCACCGCAGGAGGGGGGTCAGTCCGCTCCGACTGGAGGGACAGCGGGGAGGATGGCGCAGAACCTGGACACAGAACCAGAACCAGCTGCCAATACATGACAACTAGCTAACTGTTAGCTAAACACTAGCTCTTATCTAAGCAGTGTCTGTTAGCCAAATGCTAACTTTTAGTGAAATACTAGCTCTTAGCTAAATATTAGCTGCTGGGCAAATGCTAGCTGTCAATTAAAGTACAGCTGTTAGAGAAACAGTAGCTTTTAGCTAGACACTAGCTGTTAGCTAAACATGTAGAAGGTAGACTGGGCCGGTACCAGAGAATCCAGTCCAATCTCTCCTCCCATCAGAACCAGGTTCTGCAATAGAACCCTAAGAATCCTCTTCTTCAGTCAGAGGCTTCATTCGTAACCGCTGCAACACACACCTCTACAGTAGAAACTTCTCAACATATTTGTTTTTCTCATATTCTGTTTGTTGTTAATTTTTCCTTTTAATTTTAAATACTCTGAAATCCATAGAAAACAATGAAAGCATGAAAATATTTAGTAGAAATCAACATTCCATTTGTATTCCCTGTGAAAACAATCACAACTACATCCCGAAGTATTATTATCTATAGGCCACAAGTGTAGATATGAGAATTCTAGTATTTCAAAGTATTTCCTGTGTGTCTCTCTAGGCGGTACCTGGGTTCTGGTTGGGGACGCGCTGCGGCGATGAAGATGAGGAACCGGTGGCGGCGGGGGGGCGTGGCCAGCCCAGCGTCCCGGGCGCCGAGCGCGGCAGGGAGCTGCAGTGATGGGCGGCGGCCTGATGGGCGGCGCTGGGGTACGTCCCGTAGCCGGAGGGTCGCAGCTGCTGGGAGGACCAGAACTCGACTCACTGGCGTCTCCATAGCAACCACTACATGCATCAACCAGCTGAGACCAGATGTTTACATACTCCCCGTCTGACATGAAACCGGACTGAACTTCTAGGTTCAGGTCCAGTTCACCAAGCTGGTTCTGGATCCAGAAAAGTTCTGGATCTTCAGAACTTTTCAACCATTTCATGAGAGTTGACCTTTAACCTTTACCACCATGATCAAGTCCATTCCTCCTCAGAGAACCACTGGAATGGGGTCAGGACTGTAACTGTTCTTCCTCACAGAACCTTCCAGTTCTGCAGACCAGAAAACCCATTTGGACCCAACTGTCTAACAACACAGCCCCACAGCATGATGCTGCCACCACCACCATGTGATACAGTAGGGATGGTGGTCCCAGGCATCCTAGCGTCCAGGAGACAGGACATGTCTCCACAGACGAAGGTTTTGTCCCTCTGGACATCTGCAGGACCAGCTTCTTCCTCGCTGAAGCAGAGTGAGAATAAACCTATCAGAAGCTGACAAAGCCATGACATCACCACCGGGGCGGGGTTTAGAGGAACAGTGCTTTTCTAGAGCTTAGGGAACTGATGTGTGTCTGGTCTGGTTTCCGGTCAGACGGAGGCAACAGTCTGGGTCAGAAGAACAAATGGTACCGGTTCTGGACTGCAGGTCCTCCAGTCGGCTCCAGTCTGGCTGATGTTGGGCCACGGCGAGTCACTGACTGAACAAGAAACAGAAGAAACAGAACAACGTCAAGAAACCGAATGGAAAATCAAATGGGGCAACCAGGAACCACCAGGGACAACTAGAGACAACCAGGGACAACTAGAGACAATTATGGACAACTACAGACAATTATGGACAACTAGAGACAACCAGGGACAACTTGAGACAACTAGAGACAACCAGGGACAACTTGAGACAACCAGGGACTACTTGAGACAACTAGAGACAACTAGACACAACTTGAGACAACTAGACACAACTTGAGACAACTAGAGACAACCAGGGGCACCTTGAGACAACCAGGGACAACTTGAGACAATTATGGACAACTTGAGACAATTATGGACAACTAGAGAAACCAGGGACAACTACAGACAATTACGGACAACTAGAGACAACCAGGGACAACTAGCGACAACTAGAGACAACCAGGGACAACTAGAGACAATTATGGACAACTACAGACAATTATGGACAACTAGAGACAACCAGGGACAACTTGAGACAACTAGAGACAACCAGGGACAACTTGAGACAACCAGGGACTACTTGAGACAACTAGAGACAACTA